GGGGGGGGGGTGGGAAGTATAAATCCGGCCCCCTATAGAGATAAAAAGTTTAGTGCAGCATAACACATTTGTTAGTTAAATTGTAAATTTTTTACATAACTCTTTACATCAGACAAAAAAAAGAGGGACAAATGAGGAAAAAATAAGAGGGGATAGGGATTTGGTTCCAAAAGGACAGTCCTTCTAAATGAAAGACAGTTGTAATATGTTAAATAGCCAGTCAGCTTGAGGGGGAGCAAGAAACAACCAACATCTTTCTATCTAAAGCATTGTAAAATATGGTGTATCTGCAGTATAAACTAATAATTTGCATGTCTTCACCTACTAAGCCTCTATGTTTTTTTGTGATTTTTATTGGAAGTGATGATATGTAAATACATTTAGGCCCCGTTCACATTCAGCGATTTTTGCAGCGATATCGCTCATATTTCTGCGCTATATCGCTCTATGTAGCTTCACCAATACATTTCAATGGAGCTGTTCACATCTCGTCGCTCAATATCGCTCAATATCGCTCGTCGCGCAATATCGCTCAAAGTCGCGCGATTTTCATGTCGCTCAGTGTGAATGGGGCCTAAGGGGAATGTATCAAAACTAGGGCAGGCAAAATCTGCAGAAGCTGTGCATGGCAGCCAATCAGCGTCTCTCTTTCATTTTCAAATCTTAACTGCACAAACTGAAAAGAGACACTGAGAGCTTGCAATGGGCAACTGCTCCAGATTTTGTCTGCTCCAGTATTGATAAATTTCCCCCCTTGTTTTTAGAAGATAGCATCATACCTATTGATAGTATACTCTAGGGGTAGGCAAGCTTGGCACTCCAGCTGTGGTGCAACTACAAGTTCCATGAGGCATTGCACAGCCACGGGTATGATTCCTAGAGGCAGAGGCATGATGGGTTATGTAATTTTACCACAGCTGGAGTGCCAGAGTTGTCTACCCCTAGTATAGTAATTGCTGACACTTTTCTATTGGCAGGATTAACAGGTAAAACAATGTTATGGGTGACTCATATAAACAAAACTGCTGTGTTAATGCAATTGACAGATTGTATCTTGAAGGTGGACATACCATTTGGGCAGACTGTGCAGCTGCACAACGGCCTTCAAAGACATATCGGCCATTTATACTAAATTTGGCTCATATAATTGCTTCCCACCCACTGCCTTGTAGACTTGGAGAGCTCACTTTTTTCTAGCTGTCAATTGATACATAGTCATTAAGTACTTTTACTTGGTCAATAGTTGGCCCAAAAATTGATCTTGCACAAGGGTCCACTAGTCACGATATCTGCTATTTTATATCATATATGTCATTTTTTTATTTTGCCCAATGTTATACCTAAACAGTAACAATGTTACTAAATGTATGCTTTTATATGTAAAATAAAATGTAGACTTGTCTCGATGCTTCCTTCCTCCAGCCCCTCCAGTGGTACAGGTACAAACAAACCATATTCACACATACATTATGAAGTGCGATTATTGTGTTGTTCATATTTAGTAATATCCTTACCATGGTGATCCTGGAACTGGCGTCGATGCCACTGGTTTGTTGCCTTTAGTGATATAATCCTTGTCACTTGCTACCTTCATACCACCGTCCTTGAATCCAATATATGAAAAAGTTTTAATGAAAGGCATAAACAAATATTTCAAGACTATTACAAAATCCAAAAACTTAGTAGTATTGTACCATTCCCCATTAAACTTGGAAAACTTTTACTTACATGATAAAAAATCTCAAACATTATTTTCATTGAACATTATATCATTCATATTATATGCAGAGTTCACATTAAAACCTTAGTTTCTGCAAAATTAAATAGGATTAGACTAGTAAGTCTCTAATTATGGATGATTGATTAACCATTTCACAGGTACATTTACTATCATAATAATTACAAGGCAGACATTTTCAATTAACAGACATAAATAACTAGTTAACTAGGCTCCTGCCTTTGACAGGCCAATAAAAGTTTCTTAGTACTTGAAGACTGGAGAAGACAAACCTTTTCATCTGCATTGGCAGTTTTATTTTTGCTCTCTGAATGTAAAATGAAGGTGGTTGAACATGGCGCTCTGTTTACTTCTTTGTTTTTTTCTGTAAGCGTAAAGAAAAAGATATTACAATTAACAAACTTGTATAGGAATTAAAATGTTATCTTCTTTTATGATGTATCTTAACGTGTATATAAACCCAAGAACAAATATGTAGTATATTACATCTCGCCAGTCCTTATATGTGGTGGCTGCATTCGTTTTCTTCGTTTTCTTTTATTAGGCTTTTATTTCCTTTATTTTCACCCAGTGATCCTGCCAATAACACACTTCCTGTCCTAGGGTGACAACGTTTACTTACTGCACTGTATCAATGGAAGAGTATTGTTATCCTAAACAGGATAGAACACTTCATCCTCCTCCTTTTTTAAAACATAGGGGAGATATGTTCCCAGTCATTATATTAGGTGGCTGCATCAGTTTTCTTTTATTAGGCTTTCATTTCCTTTATTTTCACCCAGTGATCCTGCCAATAACACACTTCCTGTCCTAAGGTGACAACGTTTACTTACTGCACTGTATCTGTAGAGGGGTATTACTATCCTAAGACAGGACAGAACACTTCACCCTCTTCCTTTTTTAAAACATAGGGGAGATATGTTCCCAGTCCTTATGTGTTAACAGTTACAAACCAAATCCAGTGTGAAATGTTGCCTCTGTGCAGGAGCTTCCTGTAATAAAGACCGAACACTGCTGCTCTTTCTCTACTTGCAGGGTGGCTGGTCTTGTCTCCGCCCCCTCATGTAGTTTTCTACAGGCAGTCTGTAATAAATAGAGCCCTGCTGGGTCCCTCCCAGTGCTCTGCTTAGGCTATGTACAGCACAATGATGATGTCAATGCTACTTTTATAAGTTAATATGTGGGTTTGCAAAAGTATTTGTTGCACACAAATTGGATTAATATCCTTTGTGGCTACTGAGGAATCTATTCCAATAAAAGTTATTGTGCTTGGAGTTCAGTTTTACATTTCTGTTGCTGCTGTGACTTTTTTAGATTTAGATTTTTATTTAGTTTAGACTTTTTTAGAACTGCTCTTGCAGACAAAATGTGGCTTTAATGCTCCAGATACAAATAACAAATGTTACCATAGCACTAGGACAGCTGCTCTTCCAACTATTCTTACAAAGACCAATTGCATAGAAATTCTGATACACACTGGCCTCTCCTGCAGCAGCTGCTTTGTAAACTCATACGCCCTGAAGAAGAAGGAGTTTGTAACCCTTGAAATGTGTTGGCTGTGGCAGTGCGCCGCTCTGCCATGCATTTAATACAGTTCTAGAGCCATTAACCCATCGATATCGTACAATAAACACTCCTAAAATATGTTTGGGGGTGATGATATATTAAGTTTTCCCCTTGCTATTGAGAAATGCGACTAATTATCGCTTAATCTACACATGATAAATCCCTTTGGTAGGGTAGTTCGCACCTCCCACCTGTGGGAAAATTAAATGAAGACACTATTTAATTAGAAAAAAAGGAAAGAAGAAAAACAAGGAAAAAAGGAAGGAAGCAAAAGATTGCGAAGTTGCAGACTCGTGAATTCCTAGTACCTAAAGTTACAACTAGCCTAAGGAAGATGGAGGAGTTCCTGGGAGATTTAGAGATCCATTGATAATTCATCCATGGTTTCCAGACTACTTTAAAATTGATGTTTCTATCTTGCAAGATACTATAAAGCTTCTCATGAATCATAATCCAATTTAATTTGGACAAAACCAGAGAGAATGGTACATTTTCTGCTTTCCAGGACCGAGCAATAGAGGTCTTAGCCGCTAAAAAGAAAAAAAGTAAGAGTTTGCCCTTCGCTCCCGAAATGCCTGGGACGGGTTTATTCAATAATAAATATTGCGGGTCTCTCGGAACATGAAACTGGAGGATCTCGAAGAGCAGGGCAAATAACTTATTCCAAAAGCGATGCAATTTTGGACACAGCCACCAAATATGGAACATAGTGCCTTGTTGATTGCATCCTCTAAAACATAGAGGGCTAGTCCCAGGAAACATAATTGCCAGCCTGGCTGGAACCAGGGACCATCTGGAAAACACTTTATAATTAGCCTCTGAGAGAGAGACATTAGGGATTCCCAACATCAACCTCGTTGTGCACTGTTGCCATTCTTCCTTAGAAAGGGCTACACCCAGGTCAGATTCCCATGCGACCATATAAGCTAATTTTGTGAATGGACCAAGTAATGCAGCATATATTAAAGAGATCCACCCCCCCCCATTGCCCAGGCCCCCTCAGGCACCACCTCTCAAACTGTGTCAACAACGGAGCACCAGCTTCGGGGATATGTAACGATTTCAGGTAATGATGTATTTGTCTAAATCTGGAAAAGGAATAACCAGCACTCAGTAGAATAATCTGAGTGCTGGTGATTCTTTTTCCTATATTGTGTCTGCACGGTGCCATTCGTGTTCATCACTACAAGCACCATTGTCTTCATGGGCCTTGATTGCTGCAAGGTGTGCGGAGGATTTCCCCTTCTATCCAATTTGTCTGAATCTGAACATTTCCGACCGAGGCATCTGTAAAGTATTTAAACAATAGGAAAGAGAAATTGGTTTGTGAAGTATTATAAAATCTCCAATTCTGTACAGACCTTTGTCAACCCACCATTGAAAGGCTTTCTGCTGTAGTCCTGGTGGAAAGTTTACATTACTGAACAGTGTTGCAAGAGGGGCGTGGGAGGAAATAATCCCTTCCTTAGCTCGTAACCCATACCATAGAGTCATAGAATGTAGCAAAGTAAGTAGCATATTCTTCGGCCTTTGCCTGGGAGTCGTCCATTTTAATGACTCAATGGAAGTGCCACTAAGTGTGCTTGTCTCTATATTGACCCAGTCAGGGATGACTGCCGCAGAGTATACAGAGGAAAATTGTATCATCTGTGCGGCCCTATAATAATGAAGCAAGTTCGGCACCGCCAGGCCCCCCTGATGTCTGGGTTTAAAGAGAATAGCACAGGAGATTCTGGGGTGTTTGTCCCCCCATATAAATTTACCATTGGATGCCTGCCATGTAGTGACTTCTACTCGTTGAATCGTGGTTGGTAAAGTCCTAAAGTAGTACAGAATTTTGGGGGTTAGGGTCATTTTGATTGAATGTATACGACCCAGCCAGATAGATTGAAAGAAGACCATCTTCTCATATCTTCCCTAAGGGATTTAAATAGTGGAGGATAATTTGCTGTATACAATTGCGTGTGGGACGGGGTAATCTTAACCCCAAGGTACTGAAGGCAGTCGATTCGCCATTCAAATGAAAAAGAGGTCTTAAGGCCTGACCATAGCTCCAAAGGGAGGTTGATATTAAGTGCCACGGATTTGGAGGCATTAACTCGATCAACCTTAGTTGATCGATAGTTTGGTCTGGGCCCCAGGCCACCCTGGGAACTAGAGCAAACTGGAGCGCACGACCACCTACCGCGGGCGGGGCTATACAAACTGAATTATGCATATTAACAATAAGTCTTACAGTATCTAGAATGCATATCCTATTGGAATATACCCCAACATAAACAAAATGGTGCATATTAACAGTGTATATAACAATATCTAGATTGCATGTATTATTATCTTATCACTTCTCTTCTTCCTAAAGGTATAAGGACTGGAGATTCAATTATCTATAGGTTCTCTAGGGCCTTGCAATTGGGATAATGTCCTTCTGCCTTGCTTCTCCCACAGAGGCGAGAGTGAGCCTTTAGCCTGCTGTAAAGATGGCTTAGGGTCAGCTGTAGATAGTGGCAAATGGTCTTTGGGGGTTATCCCTAATCGCTTCAGCAAGTTTTCGCCCTCTGAAAAGTTAGTAATAGAATAGGATTGGTTCTTAAAGAAAATTAGCAGGCGAAATGGAAACGCCCACCTATACTTCATCCCATGTTGGGTTAGGGCTAGTAACAGTGGTTTCAGAAAGCGTCTTTTTTGAATAGTCACTGGCGATAGATCCGCATAAATCTGTATACGTTGGCCCATAAATATTAGCTCAGGTGCAGTCCTTGCTTTTTTCATGATTAATTCTTTTATATGATAATAATGCGGTTTCACTATAAAGTCCCTTGAGGAACCCTCAAAGCGCATTGCTGTTGATGCGTGGTGAACTCTATCCAGTTCTAGTTGAGGGTTTGTGACATCTGGTAGTAAATCTCTCAAGAAGGTTTGAACAGCAGTTTTCAGATCTAAAATGGTTTCAGGGGCTCCCCTGATTCTAAAAAGTTATGGCATCGAGATCTATTTTGTATATCATCAATTTTAGACAGCGCCTCCTCTAATTGCCCATGAACATCTTGGATGCAGGAGGTGTTATGATTAGTGCGTTCTATCGTTGCATCTAGCTTACTCTGAATCGCCTCAATGCAAGAGCCCAGCTCCCTCAGATCACCCCTGATTTCTGTGGTGATTTCCCTTGCCATACAGGATAGACCACGATCTAGCATGCTTGAAAATTTAGAGATTAAATCAGTGTGGGAGTCCTTATCTTGAGGAGAGTTTACATTGTCCTGCCCATCACTCTCATGCCATTCAGTACTGGAAGGATCATATAGGGGGAGCCTCATACCTGCAATCGTGTGTTCCAGCAAGGACAGTGTTGAAGCTGGGGATCTCTGTTCCGAGGACCCACCCTCAGCTAGGGCTGATGGTGAGAAGGTCGACTCTGCATCATCTGCTTCCTCCTGCCCTGTAGACGAATCCACCTGTTCCTCCGGAGCTGGATCCATCTTGGGCACCGCCGGCGTCAGCTGCGGGCCCTTCTTTGAGTGGTTCTTCGTCCCCTTTTGCTTCCCCCCGGCCATGCCGAGTGGTCCGAGTTTGGGAGTCCGTAAGTCTCCTCTCAGGGAGCGGTGTTAGTGCTGGAGCAGGTGAGGTGGGATGTCGGTGCCTGTCGTGGTACGGAGTTCGCGGCTTACGCGGCCTTCTTAGGAGCCTCGCACATGCGCCGACAGACTTTTTTTGCAGATTAGAGTGGGTGCAATCATTTTATTGTAAATGTGTGCAATGGACACTGGCTACCTTAAAGTGACAATAAATTCAAGAGTT